GGGCGCTCCCCCAGCACGTGACCCAGGACATAGGCGTTACGCGCGCTAGCTCACAGCTCTACATCACGTGTTCCCGCATGGCTCGCCCTCTTCACGTCACGTGTTCCCGCATGGCTCGCCCTCTTCACGTCACGTGTTCCCGCATGGCTAGGCCTCTTCACGTGACGCTAGTCACTGCACTGCGCGTGCTCCAGTTTAGCTCTTCCCAGTCCTTCATAGGGGGTAGCGGCGGCGGGTGCACCCTTAGCCAAATGCGCATGCGTGCTCCTTGCTGCTGGGCGGGGCTCATAATGGGCGGTGCATAGGGCAGGTGGTAGCTGCTGGAGTGGGGGCGATGGTGGGTTCCTAAGCCCCGCCCCCTTGCATGGCCTTTAACATGGGGGGGGGGAAGCAGGGACAACACCCCAGGGTAGGGTGACTAGATGTCTCGATTTTATAGGGACAGTCCCGATTTTGGGTCTTTTTCTTATCTAGGCTCCTATTACCCCCCCACCCCGTCCCGATTTTTCACACTTGCTGTCTGGTCACTCTACCCCGGGAGTCCCTGCAGCCCAGGCTGTGTGCATTGTGTTCTGCTGTGGGGTCCGCACCCCCTCTGTGCCTTTCCCTGGGGCCAAACTCGGGCTGCTGGGGCCTGTCTGCCAAGCCCTGCAGCCTGCCGACCCCACGAGTAGGGACGTTACAGGCCAAATAGCTTGGGCCCAGTCTCTCTCGCAGGGCCATCCATCGCGGACTTGCTGTCCAATCTCTCCGGCATGTCTGTTATCACCAGGGTCCCCCAGGCAGAGCGGTTCCCTCAATTACTCCTTTCCTGGGCAGGGGGTGAACAGTCGGGCCACCACCACCCTGCTGCTGTTTCTGGGCGTGTCCCAATTTCCTCCCTGCAATCTCACCGGACATGGGGGTTGACAAAATATAATCTCGCTGTGGCAGGCCGGGATGTTGTTGTGACAGAACTCACAACGGGTGAGTTTGTCCCCAAAAGACGGCAGCTTGGAGAGGGAAATGCTGTTCCCCCCGGTTCCTGGACATCTCTCAATCACTGGGGTGACGCCTGCCCCGGGCCCAGAATGTGGCATTTAATCCCTTGGTCACTTCCCTGCACATGCCAAGGAGACAGTTTCTCATCACGTTTGTACCTACAAGCAAGAATGACCCCAGGGTCAGATTTGTCCTGGCAGATAAACAGGCGAGGATCTTAACCTCTCAAGTCCTCCAGCTGCTTATAAGCTGCCCGGAGGTAATAACGATCCATCCTTTACCCATCCAGAGGAGCCGGGAGCATTTCACACACATTGATCAGTCTGCGCAGTCCCCGAGTGGCGCACTGCTGTCCCCAGCTTGCAGAGAGGGGAAACTGAGGCCCAGAGGGGGAAGTGACTCAGCCAAGGTCACAGCCCTGGGAGCTGGAGGTGCGAACAGAACCCAGGCGTCCTGGCTCCGAGCCCAGTGCTTGACCCGGCCCATCCTGCTTCTCACTCAGCTGCCCGGTGGGCTGGGGGCTCGGCGCTGTACCTCGCGGCTCCCCCAGCTGGCTCCGCCCCATCAGACTCACGGCCCCAAGCAGGGAGTGACCCATCCCCGCGGTAGCCGGGCGCTGGGGAAGGAGGCCGCGGACGGGCCCAGAGCCTCGCTGGCTGGTGAATCGCCGCCGGGAGCTTCCGGGCCGGGCCGGGCCGCGCTGAGACACTCCCCCTGCCCCGGGAAGAGGAAGGGCGAGAGACCGACCCGACCCCACCCCCGCCCCGGTACGGAGCGGGCACCCGGCACCCCCCGCCCGCGGGATGGAGCTGGACGGGCTGCGGCTGGACGAGGAGGGGACCTTCTCCCTGAGCGGCTTCCAGGAGTTCACGGTCAGCGTCGCCCCGAGACCCCCTCCCCGGG